GGAGGAGGATGAGGAGGAGTCGGCCATTCAGATTTTCGCTGGCACGCTTTACGTTCCCAGGGGCCGCTTTCAAACAGGGACCTCCAGGGACTCCCGAGGACCCTGGATAGAATCGAACATTTATTTTCGGCATGTTTGGGCCCTCGTAGCCCTCGTAGCCCGTAACCGCCGCAGATACTTGCGTCGCCGTCGCGGGGTAAGAGGAGGCGAGGGAGGGAGAGTGCGGAGGAGGGGGAGGGAGGATGGAGGGAGGATGGAGGGAGGACGGAGGGAGGAGGGAGGAGGGATGGAGGAGGGAGGGAGGAGGGATGGAGGGGCCCTCCCCATGGCGCTGCGGGCCCTCGCCCTTGCTGGGCAGCGCGGCGCTTGGGCACGCCAGACGCCAGGCGCCTTCGGGAGGGGGGCCGGCGCAGGGAGGAGCAGCAACAGAGAGGAGGTGGAGGATGAGGCGTGGTGGGGAACAGGCCCGATGGAGAGCGGATGTACGCATCGGAGAAAATAAATCGCACCAGCCCAATGCAGGCCACCATGGCAGCCGCGAAGCAAGTGTGTCCCATTCCGCTTGCCCCCAGAAGAACCAATACCAAAACGTCCTGTAAGTCACCCTGATGGAAGGGGGAAACCGACCACTTTCGCACGAAAGTGGTGGGTTTGTTTTTCCTCGGAAAGGAATGAGGGGCAGACGGACGAGGGAGACAAGAAGGTCTGAGGAGGGAGGGAGAGGGCGGAAGACGAGGAGCAGTCGGAGGAGGAAGGAGGAGGAAGGAGGAGGAAGGAGGAGGAGCAGGAGGAGAAAAGCGAGCGGGCTCAAGATCAACCGAGCAGGTTTTCGAGACACGCCCCCCACGAGAAAGCTGACGCCAAGCGCGGGCGAGACGTCCCGATACATGTTTTGGACACGCACTATGCTTCATCCTGGAACACAGAAGGAGCCCCAATGCAGCAAGCCCGTCTCAAAAACTTCAGATTTCGAGACAAGCCGTTCACGCCATCGTTTTAATCGCCGCTGGTGGACCTCGACGCAACCAATTGCTTTACAACCGTTGGCGCGCACATGTTTGCCGCGAGGCCGAATCCGCATCCCAGAATGTTTTCTGGGCGCAGCATCGCCGTCACCGGCAGATCGATTTGCTTCGACTCTGACGTCGACGGTCGAGGAACAGCTGAACTTGGGGCACGGCGGCGAGCTGCCTTTTCGGCAGGCGTCAGCAAAAATGCGACTTCGCCTCGCTTCCATGCGGGCCTCAACGGGCCACTCCACAGCGGCCCGCGAGGTACCAAAAGCTGGGCCTCGAATGTGCGGCCAGAAGCCTCGGCCGCGCGCCTCGAATTAGGCGGCAGCTTGCCGCCTGCCTCGATGACGCGCAGCACCCGCCAACCCCACACTGGCACCCCTGCAAGGCGCTGGCTGGTGCGCCCCAGCGGGCTGCTCGGCGCCGGATCAGTCAACACGTGCACTCCTGCGATAACGGGCCTCCGAATAAATTCGTCTACGGTGCCCGGCGGACTGCTACGAGGCAGCGCCGCCACGGGAGCATTCTCACTGCGGGTGTTGCCACGCGTCTGTTGCAGAGCGCGCCAGCGCTGACGGGGGACAGGAGCGTCGCCAGAAGCCTGTAACGCCGCCGAAGCTTCAGGAGATACGACGTTGCTCGCAGTCGCAAGGCTGCGACCGCGGAGGCCCTTCCGACGCATGTGCAGAGCCAGTTGGGGCGGCATCCACCGGCGAGGGCTCGCCTGGGACGCGCAACCCGAAGACGAATCGAAGTGCGCCCAGTCCTTCGTCGCAACGGCGATGGCGTCCTTGAGCCGCGCCTCCGAAAACTGTTCGTTGCCTGACCTCGCCAACCGTTGCAATTTCTTCAACTGCCCGTCGCCAGCTTTCATCTTGGCTTCCGTGGTTGACTCGCCCGCTGGCTGTGGCAGGCCCTTTTCAGAGCAGGGCGATCTGAGACGCTGGGAGTTCAACATCGGCCCCCAGACCCGTCTGGGCCCAACCGCGGATACGTTCCGCGCTGCGTCCAGCCGCGGCGACCAGTCGACGAGGGCGTCCCCCGAAGGCCAACTGGCAAGTCTCAATCGGCCCTCCGCTGACCTTCACCACGGCCTTATACAGCGACCAATTGGTGATGTCCCCGACGAAGTTGTGAGCGGGAGAACTCATGCACTGCTTCGCCCAGAGTTCGACGATGATGTTGCCAGATTTCTGAACCCTCCGCAGTTCAAAATCGTGGATGCCCCCAATGTTCTCGTAGTACACCACCACCCCTCGCGCGGTCGATTCGGCGGCTTTGGCCGAGTGGCCTGGGAACAGCCACCCCCATATGTCACGAACCTCCCAGAGGTTCGTGACCATCACATCTGGGCCCATAACAAGTCTGCGCCCGCCCTGGCCGTGCCATCCTGGCGAGGCAGAGGACTGCGAGGACTCGCCGTATAACAAGCTAGCTTTGTGCGACGCCTTCATGATGTCGATCAGCTCTTCTAAATGAAAGAACGT